GAGAATTTTTGACAAAATACACTGTAAAGCAACACCCCGGTAATTTTCAACGTTGTTTCTATCGCCGTTTTTGTAGACTGGTCTGACAAATGACGTTCTCCATATCTGCGGGACCGAGGCAGTTTCAAGTGATTCTTTTAACAGTGTTGAGATTGGCCCCTGCAATGAAACCAAACAATGCTTGATAAATTTGTTTCGCTTGAATCGGCCAATGTGTGCCGTTGCTAGTGATCAGGAATTTCATCAGGACCACAGACAAGATCATCTGGCAGCATGCTTATATGTTGACCCACAAGCTCCTCGGTTATTTCGATCATTGATATTTGTTGTCTTGATGAAAAAGAATTTTTTTCTTTGCCAAATGCGGACGTTTTTTCTTTATTTCATCATTCAAACGGTCAAGCAAGGCTATATAATACTCTTTGTTGACCGTTCTACCCTTTTCGAGATAATCGATGAATATTACCCCATGCGCATCCCAAAAAACACTGGCGAATACCTTGCCAGCCCATCGATCTTGCTTCACACGCTTTGGAGGTCTTTCATCTGGTCCTACCCACTCCGCAGACTGACGTTTGTCTTGTGGTACGTAGTGATGGACCCAAGTCTCATCCATCGTGATGTATCGACGCAAAAATTCCCTTGGGTTGCGATTATACAATGCCAAACATCGCTGAGAATCATTGATTCGTTGTTCTTTTTGGTCGATGTTGAGAAAATGCGGCACTCACATAGCAAGCAGCTTTTTCATGTGCAAATGTTGATGCATAATTGTAACCACTGACCCTGTTGATATGCCTATGGACTCAGCTATCTCACGCACTTTCACTTTTCGATCATTCAATAACATGCGGCGGACTTGTTGAATGATTTCGGGGATAATTGCCTCTTTTGGGCGACCTGATCGTTCAGCATCAGCGGTGGATGTACGCCCGCGACGAAATTCAGCAAACCAGTATTTGATGGTTGAACTGGGTGAACAGATGCCGTAGCACTTATCTAGCCATTCCTTTGCTTCGACGGTATTCATTCCCATTAAAAAGCAGTGCTTAATCAAGACTCGAAATTCACTTTTTTCCATTATTTGAAAAATCTCAAAAGTTGCTTGATACTTATGCCTGTAACTTGTGAACAAATGCACGGATTGGGCTTAAAATTTGACAGTATTGTGAAGACAGGTGGTACTTGTCAAAAATAAAGAGATTTTTTATTTATGACGCCATCTGGTTGTCAGGCCAAAGACTTATTGAACCACCAAATACCTTTCCAACGACGTATAAATCATTATTGATTGATGAAAAACTCAAAAACGGCCTCCAAAAATGTTCGACTCCAGACCAAAACCACTTACGCAACGAATTTTTTGAAACTGAGAAATTAGTTTGCTCAGTTTTTAGTCTACTTTGGAAAAAAAATAATTTCACACAATTTAAAAGAAGTTACGGACAGACATACAAACACCCCAAGCGGCCAATTTCGATATTTTGGCCATTTTTGGCGAATTGGCCATATCTCGGCCACTTTTCAACCGATTGTGATGATTCTTTTTTTTAACATTATCAACGCAGTCGTCAGGTTCGAATATGGCAATAAAAATTTTCGAAAAAATAATTTCGGTGGTCAAAAATCGAGAAAAAGGAATTTTCAGCGATTTTTTTAAAATGCCACCTGGCGGCCAAATTTTGAAATTTTTAAATTTTTTTGCGGATTCTTAATTTGGTGCCCGAGCACTACTAAATATGCAAAAAACCCTTTCCAAAAATCAGCGGTATCGATTTTCATTTCTTTAACGTATATATAAAGTGACGCAAAATATACATATTTCATATGAATCGTTGCGGTGAAACAGTAGCTCTTATTTTTCTCCAAATAATACTGCAACATGAAGTTTTTTTCACACGGTTTATTTGTTGTAATACAACAAATAAACTATTCATAAAAAACTTTATGTTGCAGTATTATTTGGAGAAAAATAAGAGCTACTCTTTCGCCGCAACGATTCATATGTATGTTGATATTGCGTCACTTGGGGGACTGCCGTCCCCCGTGATAATTATAAAACACTTCTTTCGAAGTTCTCACTGTGACGCAATACTGTAAATCTGAAAATGTTCTGATACATATTTTCAGTGACGCGTTCGTTCATATACATAAAAAATGCTAACCCAAAGTGATAGACATGTCTTAAACTTAGAACGGAAAATATACGAAAAACTGAACACGCTTAACAGCACAATATTCGGTTGTTTCGTGTTTTTTAATATTTTGTGCATTTATTTTCATATATATATATTAGGGTGGATGACTTTTTCGAAAAAATGTAAGTATCAAAGCCTACAGCCCAGAGTAGTTGTATAAGCATGAGCTGATTCCAAAACAGCCATTTTTTGATGGGTTTTTATGTCATATAGGTAGGCGACTTGAACAAGAGTGAAGAGAGCTTTTTCAAAAAAATCGAAAAAAATGTGATTTTTAGTAATAAGAATTTTGGTTTATTTTTTATATTTCTACTCTCTTATTTCATCAATTAAGACCATTTTTATCTTTATAAATTTCAAATGGCCAAATTATACAGATTTACTAATCCAGGTTACATCTTTTAAAAATCGTTAAAAACCAGCAAAATAATAACTTTCACTAGTCAACCAATTTCAATTTTTAGTAATGACCATACTCGTTTAAAGCCAATACGACCTCAGTAACGCGTATTAGAACATTTCACGATTCGTATACACTCGGCACATCATCGCTGCTTTACGGAATATCAGCCGCTGAGTTCACTGCGAACTGTCGTGTATCTAATGCATCAAAGAAAGTTCGCACAAAAGAGAATGAAAAATTTACATATGGCTACTTGATGTTTTTTGACCATGTCGCAGTGAATTCTACTGCTGATATTCGCCTAAGCAGCGAAGATTTGCCGAGTGTACATGTATCGTGAATCCTTCTAATACGGGTTACTAAAA